CTCTCACTACAGATGCTCTGGACAGTGACCCCCACCCCGCATGTCACTTCCTCTTGAAAACACTTCTCAGCATAGTCTCATTTCATCTCTGAAGCATTCAACATAGCTTAGCTTTCCTTTTTGGGAACACTCTCTCCTTTCGGGCTCTGGAGCTCCACATTCTCCTGATTTCCTTCTTAGCGCTCAGGTTCTCCTTTGGCAGCTGTGCTCTGCCCAATTTCTAAATGTTGGAGTTCCTCAGAGCTTGGTCTGGGGCCACCTTGTCTTTTCCTTGCATCTCTTTATGACTTCGTCTGCTCAAGTGTGCCATTTGCTCTTGGGGTACTATTGTAACTCACATTGCTTTGCTGAGCCCCAGACTTTCTTCTGCAGCCACCTACCAGACATTTCTCCTGCCACTCCAAACCTAAGATGCTCCAATCTAAAATTCTTAATCTTCCCACCGCCCCCACCCAAACGCTTCTCCTCCTAAATGCCTGGCTCTTGGTAAATGCTATCCCCATAGTTACTTCTCTGTCCACTTGCCAATGTCTCCTTTGTAGACTATAAGCTCCATGCAGGCCAAGAAGGTGCAACTGTGCTTTCTGGTTGTATCCTGAGTCCCTAGAACCATGCCTGATACATCACTGGGGCTCAGGAAATATGAGCTGAATGAGTTAAACAGAGAAGCAAATTAGCACAGGAACCAGAGTGAGAAAGCAGCATCGTTCACCCTACAGAGATTGACAGGATTTGATTCTAGTCGCAGGCAGCTAATTTCTGTTATTTTACAGAAGTCACGGTACCCCTCCTGCAGGCTGAGGAAATTGAAATAAATTATCTATAAAGTCCCTTCAAAATTTTAATGTCTAATGGATACCCCTTCCCTATTGCTAATAAATTGCTGAATTGGTAGGTATACACAGACAGAATTTATATATAACAAAGAACATCATTTTTTCTTAAAAAACTGTGCTTCTCAAAACTATTTGTAATGCATTTTACAGAGGCTAAATGAGTAGTGTGTTTTGATACTGTGTTAGCTTTCCTGTCTCTGGGATGAAATGCCTGACACCCACAACTTAAAGGAGAGGTTCATTTTGGCTCTTGGTTTTGGGGGATTCAGTACACAAGGTTAGCTGGGTCCAAGGAAGAAGTAGCATGTCAGAAGGGTATGGTAAAGGGAGGAAAGCTGTTCAACTCATGGTAACCCAGAAATAGAAAGAAGGGAGAAGACAGGTACAAAAATATATCCATCCAGGTAATTCCCCCAGTGGCCCACCTCCAAAGAGGCTCCACCTCCTATCAGCACACTCAGCCATGAGCTCACCAATGCATTAATCCACCGATGAGTATAGTGTCCCATGATCCAAACACCTTCTCAAAGCCTCACCTCTATATACATGACCTTTGGGGGCCCTTTTAGATCTAAACTATTACACATACTTTAAATTATGAGGACCCCACGACAGAGTGATTTGAACATTCTAAAGCACTTTCACAATCCATGATGATCTATATCATTAACAATCCAAGAGACTTTCAGGACAGTTCTCAGTGCCCTCAGTGAACTTATGTGGAAACAGGTCCATGCTTACCTTCTCATGTCTTTATCCAGTGGTCCACAATAGTTTCATTGAGAGACTGTATCGACATAATTACACAGTCATTAAGGCTGCTTGGGTTCACATCTCAACTCTATACGCTTTGTCTGTTTCCATGGCCACTAAATTGGGGGTAATGCTAGTACTTAACTTCACAGTATCGTGAGGATTAAATAATATAAACATGGAACTCGGTAAATGTGAGCTATAAGAGCCCACTGGGCAATACTGAGAAACTGGATGAGGCAGGCAAGACGCCTGTATTCCCAGGGGTTTACTGGGGTCTCATTGTGTGCGTGTGAGTGTTTGTGTACTAGGAATTGAACCTAGGGCCTTCACACAGAACCAAATCCCCAGCCCTTTTTCTTTTTGGGGGGATCAAAACTTAGGACCTTGCGCTTGCGAGGCAGGCGGTGGAACCACTGCGTTAAATCCCCGGCCCTGCCAGCCCATTTTCTTTAATCTTTTGCAACAGGGTCTCCTAATTTCCTAGGCTGGGCTCAGACTTGAGATCTTCCTGTCTCAGCCTCCCACAGTGCTACGACTACAGGTATACATCAGTGATAGGCCAGGTTTCTCAACGTCTCTCACTCAAGACTAAATCTCAGCTCTTTCTTTGCTTTGCTTAGAAGCCAGGTCCTGCGCGGAACCGGATTTCTATAGCACCGCCTCCGGATGGGGGAGTGGCCTCGTTAGGGTGGGGGCGTGGCCAAACCGAGAACTGGGGCTTCGAGCTCTCTTTTCCCTGTGGGGAGCCACCCAGTCCGGGAGGGGCTGGAGTTGGATCACGTGGTCCGTGAGCGGTTTCACCCTCCCTTTGCCGGTACCACCTGTTCCAGCCCCAGGGGGGAAATGTCTTACTTCTTTTCGGGAAGCAAACCATTAATGTTGGTACTTTTTGTGTCCAAATGGCGTGGAGTAGTATCTTCCTATGACTGAGTCAGCCTTTGCCCCTGAAATGGTGCCCCCCCCGGTAGTGGTCTCGCCCAGTCGGGCCCTGGGCGCGGCGGCGGCGGCCGCGTCACTGGCGGGCGGGATCCCTCCGCTCTGGGGAGAGCAGCGCTGGACGATTGAGTTGGGGTGACTGAGGAAATCCATCCGCGTCGTCGCCGCCGCTGCCGCCTCCGCCGCGGAGGAAGACAGGACCTCTCGCGCTCCTCCGGCGACCCCTTCTCAGAGTCCCACCGCTACAGGTACCTCCGCTGACAAAAGGAGTCCTCATCTCCCCCAGCCCCAAATTCCCATGGGGGAAATTTCCTTTCCGTCTGTCTCCCCGATCTGGCCCCTTGGGAGCGGATGTAACTCCCCAGACCTCCCCTCCCTTCCTCTGGCCCCATCGCTCCCAAACCCGGAAGGGGAACTGGGGGACCCTCAGCCCCCAAAATGCATGTGTTCCTTGCACCATCGGTTGCTTTTTTCCTAACCCGAGACTCCATCCCAGCCCTGCCTGCCTCTTACTCCCTTAATAGTTGGGGGGCTAAATTCCGGGCTTCCTTTAGGCCCTGTCCCGCCCCCTTCCCCCCCCCCCCCCCCGGACACACCCCCCTCTCCAGCACCCGCGCCGGCTTTCGCCCTGCAAAAAACTCTAGAATCCTGGGACAGACGGCAAGGCCGCGAGGCCACCCTGCCTTCGTCCCCACCCCACCCTTGATTTGAGCCCTGCCTGTGGTTTCTGACTCCAGACAAGCTGGAGATCTCGGCACCCGTTCCCTTTGCAAGTGCTCACCCCAAGTTTAGCTTCCAAGCGCCTGCCCCCTGCTCAGTTTTCATTCGGGCAAGATGGAGGTCGTGGGGGCCAGAGGGCCAGGCCCACTGCGCTTCGCAGCGCGCGGCACCAGCCTGCGCCTTCCAGCTGCCAGATCGGGGGACCCTCCCTGTGTCCCTCCTTTCGCCCCGCCACACCTGCGGAGGCGGTAGCAACCCCTTTCTGTTAGGGGCCCTGGCTGCTGTATCCCCAGAATCCGAGGACTGCTGAGGGGTCTTGAAGGTGATGGGGACGGGGGGCTGGAGCGCGGCCCCCCGCTTCCAAGGGCTTCCTCCTGCTGCTTCCTCTCCCCGGGTCCGGGGCTGCTGGGCGATAGGAGGAAGAGACTGTGTCCACACCTGGGGTGGGGTAGGGGCCGTGCCCCCCTATTGGAGGGGCATCCCCTGCTATTGGCGTAAAAAGCTGAACTCACAGAGGGGAAATATCAGTGGGGAAGAGGAACGCCCAGTGCTGGGGGAAGTGGGAGCTGGGTGGCAGACGCCGGGGTCGGCCGAGTGCAGTGTGCGAGGCCAGATCGCACAGGTGTCCCCGGGGCGGGGGAGGGGGGACAGGACGCCGGGGGCTGGAGCGGAGCCA